GTGGGGGGGTGGGGGGTGGGCACTGGTGGGCAGGACCTGCTAGAGGCCGGCCTCCTCCCCTCTGCAGGGGTGGGGCAGGGCGTGGCTGGGCCTCAGCTGATCACAGCCTCCTTGGCCTCTCTGCTCCATCCTCCTCTTGCCTTTCTTGGCCTCTTATGTTCTCTCTCAGCTGCTGAGAATTCTTGGTTTTGATGAAAATTGCATGATACTGGAATCAGATGCTTAACTGAAATTCAAATCTGTCCCAACAGCTGCTTTTTTTTCCTTCCCCTAATTTTGTAATTCAGTCTTTTACCAAAAAAAAAAAAAATTCAGGATGTCATTTTATTCTTTCCCACCTGGAGGCTGGATCACAGTTCAGTTCCCCTCAGTATTTTGGACATTTGCTGAATTGTTTTTGCCAAATGCTAGTAATTTCCCGAATTAGTTGGACTTCCTAGGCTCAAAGTGAAAATGAGTTTGCTTCTCCATTTTTCACCATCAAGCCAGTTTCTTTATGATTTCTTGAAGCCAGTGGTTTCCAGCCAGATTCAGTGATAACCAGCTGTCACTTGCTTGATATTATGACAGGCTATCTCATAAGACATACCACTAGCTTTTTAAAATTCAATTTATTTTTATTTTGTTGGCCGCACTCTGCAGCATGTGGAATCTTAGCTCCCTGACCAGGGAACGAACCTGTGCCCCCTGTCTTGGAAACGTGAAGTATCAACCCCTGGACAGTCAGGGAAGTCCCCCTTTTTTTTTTGAAAGGAAGTGAATTTAAACTTATTTTGAGAATTTCATCAGAGCCCTTGGATAATTGGGATACCCCTGGGTATTATGAAACTGTGACTGGCGGTTGATTTTAGGCCAAATATTTACATGACAAATAGAGGCAACTCTCGGTCAGCTGAGACTGATGATCTGGTGGGCGGGCGATCAGAGCCACCCTCCCGGCTCCCTGCTCTGGGCTCCTTGTTGATTTGTCTCTCTCCTGAGGAAGAGGAAGGAAGGAGAGACGTTCTCTTCCAGTGCTGGCCTTTCCTGGGGATGCTGGGCCGGGCCTCCCACGATTTCCGGGCTGGGAGTGGGCGGTGCTGCCCCAGCCCCACAGGCTCACCCAGCGCCCTGCCCAGCTGGCAGAGAGCAGAGCTTCCATGTGTTCATGTACCTTACTGGCACTGTCCTTACCCAGTTACACTGACTCATCGGTTTGCTGCCAGTTCTGGTGAAAGGTTTGCTCGTGAAGAAGAATGAAACCCTTGCTTGAAATGAGATTTTAGAGTTGTCTGCGGATTTTGTTTCCCCAGGCAGGGTTCCCACAATAGACAAATGATTAAGAATTCCTTGCATGGGTGCTCACTTCGCAGCACATATCCTAAAATTGGAACAAGACACAGCTGTAGAGGGTAAAGTTGTGGTACATATACACAAATGGATACCAAGGGGAGAAGGGGGAAATGGGATGAATGGGGAGATTAAGACTGACATGTGCACACTGCTATGTATAAAGTAGTTAACTGTCAGAACCTACTTTATAGCACAGGGAACGCCACTCAGCGCTCTATGGTGACCTAAATGGGAAGGAAATCTAAAAAAGAGGGGGTGTATATATTTGCTTCCCCGATAGCTCAGCTGGTAAAGAATCCGCCTGCAAAGCAGGAGACCTCAGTTCGATTCCTGGGTCAGGAAGATCCCCTGGAGAAGGGAGAGGCTCCCCACTCCAGTGTTCCTAGGCTTCCCTGGTGGCTGAGATGGTAAAGAATCTGCCTGTAATGTGGGAGACCTGGGTTTGATCCCTGGGTCAGGAAGATCCCCTGGAGGGGAGGGCATGGCAACTCACTGCAGTATTCTTGCCTGGAGAATCCCCATGGACAGAGGAGTCTCGTGGGCTATAGTCCACGGGGTCACAGAGAGTTGGACACAACTGAGCGACTAAGCACAGTATATATATATATACATATATGTATATATAAACTCACTTTTCTGTATAGCATAACATTGTAAAGCAACTATACTCCGATAAAAATTTTAAAAAATTACATGGTTATCCATTTATTTGAACAGTGTTTGCTGCAGATCTGCTGTCCCGTCGGCTTCCCTTTGTAATGAATTAAATTGCTTTTTAGTAGGTAACTGCTTGCAGAGTGATAGCCCACTTACATGTATTTTTTCTTCTGTTACACATAAAAATTGACTTTAGTCTTACCCATTCCCTTTATTTATAAGATGTATTTATGGTTTTAAAAAGTCTGAAAGAAAAAAAAGTCTGATACTGAAGCAAGACTTCAAGATCAGTACTTCAAGATATCTGAATCATGATATCTGATATCAGTGTCATGATATCTGAAAGAAATTACCAACTGACATATAATGAGGAGTATATGTTGATTGTACTATTTTTTCAACTTTTCAAAAATGCTATGGATAAAAGAGATAAAAAGGAATGACTTAAAAAAAAAAAAAAAACTGAAGTCTAGGGGCTTCCCTGGTGGTCCAGTGGTTAAGAATCGGCCTTCCAATGCAGTGGGACACAGGTTTGATCCCTGGTTGGGGAACTAAGATCCCACAGGCCTTGGGTAACTAAGCCCTCTTGCTACAGCTACTGAGCCCACGAGCTGCGGAGCCCTGGCGCCACAACTAGAGAGAAGCCTGTGTGCCATGACAGAGAGCCCACATGCCACAACCGTGATGCAACCCAGCTGAAAAT